GACATATGCAGATTTCATCATCCACATTTGATTATTCATGGATTTGAGTCTCTAGTACTCCATGGGCAAACTTCGGCCCTGCCTCCAGGTGTTTTGGACTTCAACTCCCACCAGCTGTTAGGAATTGTGGGAGCTGAAGTCCAAAACACCTGGAGGAGGGCCGAAGTTTGCCCATGAGTGTTCTATAGGCAACTTCCTATAGTAATATTGGAGGACCTAGAGATTTCTACAGAGAACACCGATTTCTTTATTTGTTGTTGTCAAAGACTTTCATGTCACTGAGATGATGTGAGTTTTCCAGGCTGTCTCACCATGTTTCAGAAGCATTCTCCCCTGACATTTCACCCACATCGATGGCAGGCATCCTCAGAGGTTGAGGGGTCTGTTGAAAACTAGGCACATGAGTTCTACAAAACGGAACGATACCAAAGACCTGGAAAGAGGCCAGCATAATTGTGTTGCATAAGGAAGGCACGGACCCTCTTGGTGTAAGGAACTACAGACCAATTTCGCTATTAAATAGCGATTACAAGATCTTTACATCAATTCTAGCAGAACGATTAAAAAGCTTCTTAATAACATGGATAAAGGAGGAGCAGACTGGCTTTTTGCCAAATAGAAAGATGAAAGACAATGTCCGAAACATTCTAAACATCATCGAATATTTTGAAAGTCACAACGAGAAGGAACTGGCGATATTAGCGGTCGATGCGGAAAAGGCTTTTGACCACCTAAGTTGGTCCTTCTTTAAATCAATACTTAGAGAAATGGACATAGGGTTCAATTTCATGAATGCCGTAAATACCATCTATGCTGACCAAAGCGCAACTATCAAGATAAACGGACACGAATCAGAAAGATTTATGATAGAGAAAGGCACGAGACAGGGCTGCCCCCTCTCGCCGCTAATTTTCATTCTAGCGCTAGAAATCCTGCTAAACGAGATCAGGGAGGATAACAGACTAACAGGAGTAACAATACAGAAGGAATCCTTTAAACTAAGAGCGTTCGCTGACGACCTTATTTGCACAATACAAGACCCCCTCAGCAACATCAGCCTATGGATAGAAAAAATAGAAGAATTTGGCAAGGTCTCAGGCTTTAAAATTAACAAAACAAAATCAATGATACTCACTAAAAACATCTCAAGGGAAAGAAAAGAAAGACTGACAGCCCTTACAGGCCTACAAACAACAACGAAAATTAAGTACCTAGGTATATATATCACGGCGAAGAACTCTCAGCTATTAAAAAACAACTATGAGGTAAAATGGAGACAGATTAAAAAAGATTTAAAGGACTGGCAATATTTGAAACTTTCTCTCATGGGCAGAATAGCAGTGGTAAGATCTAATATACTCCCTAAAATGTTGCATTTATTCCAAAATATACCAATAATAAGAAAGAAACAACTATTCGCAGATTGGAACAAAGACATCTCAAGATTCATTTGGAATAACAGAAAACCCAGAATTAATTTCACCAACTTAACAGACGCAAGAACAAGAGGCGGTCTAGGTTTACCAGACCTCAGGTTGTATTTTGAGGCCAGTTGTATGGAGTGGATCATAGATTGGATCAGATTGCAGAATAAAAAATTATTAATATTAGAAGGCCACGACCTAAGATCTGGGTGGCATGCCTATATATGGAACAACAAGGCAAAGGTGGAAAAAAATTTCCGAAATCACTTCATCCGTGCGGCCCTCCTAAAAGTCTGGGATCAGTATAAGGGGAGAATCTACCCGAAAACGCCACTATGGCTCTCCACCTTGGAAGCACATCAAAGGAGAGAGATAGGCTGGAGAACGTGGCCTACGTATAAAGATCTGCTCATAAAGACTGGAAAGGAAGAAAAAATGAGACCATTAGAAGATCTAAAAGAAGAATACAACAATCTTACATGGCTTCAATACTGGCAATTGAAAGAGTACTTCGTAAAAGACATACAAATAGGCTTCATGGAAAGCCTATCAGCTTGGGACAGACTAATAGAAAAACCAAGCAAATTCATTACCAAAGCATATAAGTTACTACTCGAATGGTCTACGGAGGAGGAGAGAATTAAAGAATATATGATTAAATGGGCAAGACTGATAGGAAGAACAATATCATTAGAAGAATGGAACATCATCTGGAATATAAAGACAAACTATTCATATGCCTATGAGATAAAAGAGCACTGGATTAAAATGGTACATCAGTGGTATCTAACGCCCTCCAAGATTGCCAAATTTTCGAAAAACATGTGTAATAAATGTTGGAAATGCGGGCTAGAGGAGGGAACTTACAAACACATGTGGTGGACATGTGTGAAAGTAAAAGCTTACTGGAAAATAATCCAAGAAAACTGCCAAAAAATATTAAGAAAAAACATCCCCTTAAATCCAGAGACATTTCTATTGGGTTTAACAGAAAAAACATGGGACAAAAAGACTGACAAGCTATTCGTCTATCTGGTTACGGCAGCTCGCATACTCCTCGCCAAAGTCTGGAGAAAAAAGGAATTGCCATCGGAGACAGAATGGATCAATAAAATAGTGGACATAAGAAATATGGATCATTTATCATATATTCTTTCAATTACACGAAATATACCGGTTGCAGAGACAAACTGGTCACCGATTGAGGAGTGGTTGGAAGAAAAAAAGTTAAAATTGTAAATGGGCAAATACTACCCCCACAGTTATGGCTCTAACCGCAGCCTATTATCGGCAAATACGTTAATTCAGAGGTTTATTTGTTTCTTATATGTTATTCATTTTTTATTCTTTCCTTTTCTACAAGTATGAAGTACAATCTTCTCTAAGTGCCGCAAACCAAAAATACATGAAGCAAACTCTCAGTTAAAACTTTCATTTCAAGACTAAACACTATACTAAAAAGTAAATCAACATAGATCAGGAAAGGAAGCAAAGTAAAAGTCAATGGGCGGAAGGGAACACAGGGAATGAAACGAACTAGAGAGAAGTAAAGGGAAACCATGAGACAGAAACCATGAGAACCTCTAAAGATAGGATAATAAAGATACTTACACGAAAGTTTCTAAAGCATGAAGGATAATATCGAATATACCCATACAAAAATTAAGTATCGGAGAAACTACATACATTCCTATATAAAAATGAAGACTGCAAATGAAGTTAAAAAAGAAAATCCACTAGAGTGGGTGAGAGGAGGTCCTGCCAACTGAGGTTGGCCAAGTTTTTAACGTATATGTTTTATGTGTATTTGTATTTGTACTTTGTTATACATGTATTCCAATGTTTGTTCTTTATGACCGCTTTGTATGTCTTTTTAATGTTGTATGTTGTAAATGTTTAATGTTGTAAAATAATAATAATAATAATAATAATAATAAAAAAAAAACCTCTGAAAAGAACTCTTATCTTCTTGAGGCAAGTGTGAATGTTGCAATTGGCGACCGTGATTAGCATTTAATGGCCTTGCGAAAAGATCTGCGAACCCCACCTTCTCCAAGGTGAACCAAGGTGAACCTAAACTGGGTTCGATAGGCCAAGGGAGACTCCACCACAAACATCAGAAGAGCTACAAGACCAAGACCAAGCTACAAGGGTCAAGACAAAGACCCACCCAGAGGAAAAGTGTTCTTATCATACATCAAGGGAACCACTGACCACAGAGGGAAGCTGATGAGTAAACACAACCTCAAAACCATCTACAGACCCACCAAGAAAATCAAAGAAATGCTACATTCAGCAGAGGATAAGAGGGATCCTCTCACCTCTGCAGGAGTCTACTGCATACAATGCAGCTGTTAACATGTCTACATGTTTTTTGTTGTTCGTTCGTTCAGACGCTTCCGACTCTTTGTGACCTCATGGACCAGCCCACGCTAGAGCACCCTGTTGGCTGTCACCTCCCCCAGCTCCTTCAGAGTCAAGCCAGTCACTTCAAGGATGCCATCCATCCATCTTGCCCTTCCCCGGCCCCTCTTCCTTTTTCCTTCCATTTTCCCCAGCATCATTGTCTTCTCTAAGCTTTACTTTCTTCTCATGATGTGGCCAAAGTACTTCATCTTGGCTTCTACTATCTTTCCCTCCAATGAGCAGTCGGGCTTTATTCCCTGAAGTATGGACTGGTTAGATCTTCTCGCAGTCCAAGGCACTCTCAGAACTTTCCTCCAACACCACAGTTCAAACGCATCTCTCTTCCTTCGTTCAGCCTTCCCTATGGTCCAGCTCTCACATCCGTAGGTGACAACGGGGAATACCATGCTTTGACTATGCAATGGAGCTTAGTTTCCAGTGTGATGTCTCTACTCTTCACTATTTTATCGAGATGTCTACATAGGGACCACCAAATGCAGCAGCATTACCCAGGCATGAATCAAGGACCAGGAAAGGCAATGCAGACTAATCCAACCAGAGAAGTCAGCCATAGCAGAGCACCTGGTGAACCAACCTCGAAACAACATATTATTTGAGAACACAGAAATGCCAGACCACTCTAACAACCACCATTTAAGACTACACAAAGCAGCCATTGAAATCCACAAGCATGTGGACAATTTCAACAGAAAGAAGGAAACCATGAAAATGAACAAAATCTGGCTACCAATTTTTTTAAAAAACTCTAAAATGCGGGCTAAAAGAGCAACACTCAAAAAGCAGGAGAATGCAAGGCCATCAAATGGTAATCAAGATGGCCAACTGCAACATTCACACTTGCCTCGAACAGACAAGAGTTCTTCCTCCCACCCTGGACATCATTCCACAGATATATAAAAACCTCTCTTGCCTGGTTTCCAATAAACCCTTCAATCTCTGAGGATGCCTGACATCGATGTGGGCGAAACGTGAGGAGAGAATGCTTCTGGAATAGGGCCAGACAGCCCGGAAAACTCACAGCAACCCTCTTTATTTGTTGTTTTTCGCTTTCATAGGAGCCCTGTGCACCTAGCCTCAGCAAACGAAGAGAGCTGACTTTAGGTTTTGGGTTATTTTTAACGTTGCTTCTAGTTTATTTCCATGTTAATATTTATCTTTTTTATGTTTTAACACTATTGTGCAGGGGTCAATTTAGCTTTGGATCTGCACACCCAGATCTCTGGAAGAGGTTTTATTCTAGCAGGCATAGTTTCTGATTTGCAAACCCACTCATTATCACAAGCAATCACCTATAATGGATCGTTTATAGCACTTGCATTATTTCATCAACTGGGTTTCAGGTAACCTCTTGGCTGCCCCTCATTCTGGCCACTCCACCTATTGGCTCCCTCCCCTTGGCACTCTTTAAGTGAGTTAGTTAAAATACATTACTATTCCCTAAACAGCTCTATTAGGGTTGGAGGCAATGTGGGGCAAGACTATCCTTTACGCATGGCTCATTCGTACAGACCAGGCATCATCCAATGTTGCAACCATCAAGAACATACCTTTGCATGCAGCGTTGAAACCGCAACCAAACTTGCTTTTCTATCAACATAAATATATGAGGAATTGGCGTAATGCAATAAAAATGATTAATGGACATTCAAGCAGGTGAACCACGAAATATAGGTTTCCCCATTTTTATTCTGCTTCTCATGTTTCCAGAAGCCTTACTCTTGCTCCTCTACCAGCAGAATTCCTAGGAACAGCTGATTCTCAGAGGTCTCCAAGTTTTCTCAAGGCATCTATATCTTGGCATCTCAAATTCCTCATATGGTTCATCAATGTGGCAGGCTGGCTGGTGGCCTTCATTTAACCATCTGATCATGATTACTCCAGTGAAGAGCTGGAGTGGAGTACAGGTTAGCCATCTTCCCCACGGACGTCGGTTTGCTGGCCCTGCGATGATAGCAGCCTGCCCGTTTTAAGGTTTACCCAGCTTCCTTCACGCACAGAAACATTGCTAGAAATCCTGAGGGAGGAATAATCCACTTCTGCATATGTTAATGATGACTGTAAGCTTAGCCCGGCACCCTCACTCGTATGAGACATTAGCACTTTCTCTACGTCTTTCTGGCTATCATCAGAGAACTGCCGTTCCCTCCAGGATGGTGCGGTCGAAATACTTGATGCACCATTTTCAGCTGTTTGACTACGAGATTGAGATTCCTGACCTGATTTCCCTTCAGATTGCTCCAATCTGGATTCAGATGGCTCTGGCCATACTACTGCATCTTTGAGGTCTTCCAGAGCTGGACTAGTCACACAATCAACACAGATGGCACTTGTCTGTTGACTATGGCTTGTCAATAGTCTGCCCGTTTTTCTATTCAGCAAAATTCCATTTTCTAAGGAAAGTATGCTGTAAGTCTGCAGAGCTTGATCTTCCCCCTCAACATATATTGATGATAGGCTGTCAAGTGTACCAAGTGTGCTTTGAGAATTGCCAAGCTCTTGTGTTTGCCCTCCTGACATGTTCCATATGTCACTATATGGAAAATCAAAATTCCCCAACTGCTGGTTTTCTTGCTGGAAGTACTGCTCGGTATCAAAGGGGATGACTTGCTGAGAGTCCAACATCTCAGCTTGTTGGGGACTCGGATAAGAGCATGGTGCTATTTGGAGAAGACTAGTCTGTAGAGAATGGAGCACCTGTTCCCTCTGGAACTCTTTTGTGGACTCCTGAACCTCAGCTGTACGACTACACCTCCGTGATGCTTGCACCTCTGCCTGCTCACTGCCCCTTCGGGATGCTGGGACCTCTGCTTGCTGTGTGCCCCTCCTGGACTCCTGGACCTCCATCTGCTGACTGCCCCTTCGGGAAGCTGGGACTTCTGCTTGCTGAGTGCACCTTCGGGACTCTTGTACTTCCATCTGCACACTGCCCCTCCGGGAAGCTGGGATCTCTGCTTGCTGAGTGTCCCTCCGGGACTCTTGCACCTCCATCTGCATACTGCCCCTCCGGGAAGCTGGGACCTCTGCTTGCTGAGTGCACCTCCTGGACTCCTGGACCTCCATCTGCTGACTGCCCCTCCGGGAAGCTGGGACTTCTGCTTGCTGAGTGCACCTTCGGGACTCTTGTACTTCCATCTGCACACTGCCCCTCCGGGAAGCTGGGATCTCTGCTTGCTGAGTGTCCCTCCGGGACTCTTGCACCTCCATCTGCATACTGCCCCTCCGGGAAGCTGGGACTTCTGCTTGCTGAGTGCACCTCCTGGACTCCTGGACCTCCATCTGCTGACTGCCCCTCCGGGAAGCTGGGACTTCTGCTTGCTGAGTGCACCTTCGGGACTCTTGTACTTCCATCTGCACACTGCCCCTCCGGGAAGCTGGGACCTCTGCTTGCTGAGTGTCCCTCCGGGACTCTTGCACCTCCATCTGCACACTGCCCCTCCGGGAAGCTGGGACCTCTGCTTGCTGTGTGCCCCTCCTGGACTCTTGGACCTCCATCTGCTGACTGCCCCTTCGGGAAGCTGGGACTTCTGCTTGCTGTGTGCCCCTCCTGGACTCTTGGACCTCCATCTGCTGACTGCCCCTTCGGGAAGCTGGGACTTCTGCTTGCTGTGTGCCCCTCCTGGACTCTTGGACCTCCATCTGCTGACTGCCCCTTCGGGAAGCTGGGACTTCTGCTTGCTGTGTGCCCCTCCTGGACTCTTGGACCTCCATCTGCTGACTGCCCCTTCGGGAAGCTGGGACTTCTGCTTGCTGTGTGCCCCTCCTGGACTCTTGGACCTCCATCTGCTGACTGCCCCTTCGGGAAGCTGGGACTTCTGCTTGCTGAGTGCATCTCCGGGACTCTTGTACTTCCATCTGCACACTGCCCCTCCGGGAAGCTGGGACCTCTGCTTGCTGAGTGTCCCTCCGGGACTCTTGCACCTCCATCTGCACACTGCCCCTCCGGGAAGCTGGGACTTCTGCTTGCTGAGTGCCCCTCCGGGACTCTTGCACTTCCATCTGCACACTGCCCCTCCGGGAAGCTGGGACTTCTGCTTGCTGAGTGTCCCTCCGGGACTCTTGCACTTCCATCTGCACACTGCCCCTCCGGGAAGCTGGGACTTCTGCTTGCTGAGTGCCCTCCGGGACTCTTGCACTTCCATCTGCTGACTGCCCCTCCGGGAAGCTGGGACATCTGCTTGCTGAGTGTCCCTCCGGGACTCTTGGACCTCCATCTGCTCACTGCCCCTTCGGGATGCTAGGACCTCTGCTTGCTGAGTGCCCCTTTGGGAAGGTTGGACCTTTGCTTGCTGTGTGCCCCTCCTGGACTCCTGAACCTCCATCTGCTGACTGCCCCTTTGGGAAGCTTGGACCTCTGCTTGCTGAGGGATTATCCAGGGGGTTTGCACTTCCGCCTGTTGAGCGCTCAACCAAGATGTTTGCACTTCTGCCTGAAGAGTGCTCTCTAAGGACTCTTGCACTTCCACCTGCTGACTGCTCCTCCGGGATGCTTTTACCTCTGTCTGCTGACTACCCTTGCAGGAAGCTGGGACCTCTGCTTGCTGAGTGTCCCTCCGGGACTCTTGCACTTCCATCTGCACACTGCCCCTCCGGGAAGCTGGGACCTCTGCTTGCTGAGTGTCCCTCCGGGACTCTTGCACTTCCATCTGCACACTGCCCCTCCGGGAAGCTGGGACTTCTGCTTGCTGAGTGCCCCTCCGGGACTCTTGCACTTCCATCTGCACACTGCCCCTCCGGGAAGCTGGGACTTCTGCTTGCTGAGTGCCCCTCCGGGACTCTTGCACTTCCATCTGCACACTGCCCCTCCGGGAAGCTGGGACTTCTGCTTGCTGAGTGTCCCTCCGGGACTCTTCCAATCTGCACACTGCCCCTCCGGGAAGCTGGGACTTCTGCTTGCTGAGTGCCCCTCCGGGACTCTTCCATCTGCACACTGCCCCTCCGGGAAGCTGGGACTTCTGCTTGCTGAGTGCCCCTCCGGGACTCTTGCACTTCCATCTGCACACTGCCCCTCCGGGAAGCTGGGACTTCTGCTTGCTGAGTGCCCCTCCGGGACTCTTGCACTTCCATCTGCACACTGCCCCTCCGGGAAGCTGGGACTTCTGCTTGCTGAGTGCCCCTCCGGGACTCTTGCACTTCCATCTGCACACTGCCTCTCCGGGAAGCTGGCACTTCTGCTTTCTGAGTGTCCCTCCGGGACTCTTCCAACTGCACACTGCCCCTCTGGGAAGCTGGGACTTCTGCTTGCTGAGTGCCCCTCCGGGACTCTTGCACTTCCATCTGCACACTGCCCCTCAGGGAAGCTGGGACCTCTCCTTGCTGAGTGTCCCTCCGGGACTCTTGCACTTCCATCTGCACACTGCCCCTCCGAGAAGCTGGGACCTCTGCTTGCTGAGTGCCCCTCCGGGATTCTTGCACTTCCATCTGCACACTGCCCCTCCGGGAAGCTGGGACTTCTGCTTGCTGAGTGCACCTTCGGGACTCTTGTACTTCCATCTGCACACTGCCCCTCCGGGAAGCTGGGACTTCTGTTTGCTGAGTGCCCCTCCGGGACTCTTGCACTTCCATCTGCATACTGCCCCTCCGGGAAGTTGGGACTTCTGCTTGCTGAGTGCCCTTCCGGGACTCCTGGACCTCCATCTGCTGACTGCCCCTTCGGGAAGCTGGGACCTGTGCTTGCTGTGTGCCTCCTGGACTCTTGGACCTCCATCTGCTGACTGCCCCTTCGGGAAGCTGGGACTTCTGCTTGCTGTGTGCCCCTCCTGGACTCTTGGACCTCCATCTGCTGACTGCCCCTTCGGGAAGCTGGGACTTCTGCTTGCTGTGTGCCCCTCCTGGACTCTTGGACCTCCATCTGCTGACTGCCCCTTCGGGAAGCTTGGACTTCTGCTTGCTGAGTGCATCTCCGGGACTCTTGTACTTCCATCTGCACACTGTCCCGCCGGGAAGCTGGGACTTCTGTTTGCTGAGTGCCCCTCCGGGACTCTTGGGCCTCCAACTGCTCACTACCCCTCCGAGAAGCTGTGACTTCTGCTTGCTGAGTGTCCCTCCGGGACTCTTCCATCTGCACACTGCCCCTCCGGGAAGCTGGGACTTCTGCTTGCTGAGTGCCCCTCCGGGACTCTTGTGCTTCCATCTGCACACTGCCCCTCCGGGAAGCTGGGACTTCTGTTTGCTGAGTGCCCCTCCGGGACTCTTGGGCCTCCAACTGCTCACTACCCCTCCGAGAAGCTGTGACTTCTGCTTGCTGAGTGTCCCTCCGGGACTCTTCCATCTGCACACTGCCCCTCCGGGAAGCTGGGACTTCTGCTTGTTGAGTGCCCCTCCGGGACTCTTGCACTTCCATCTGCACACTGCCCCTCCGGGAAGCTGGGACTTCTGTTTGCTGAGTGCCCCTCCGGGACTCTTGCACTTCCATCTGCACACTGCCCCTCCGGGAAGCTGGGACTTCTGTTTGCTGAGTGCCCCTCCGGGACTCTTGCACTTCCATCTGCATACTGCCCCTCCGGGAAGTTGGGACTTCTGCTTGCTGAGTGCCCTTCCGGGACTCCTGGACCTCCATCTGCTGACTGCCCCTTCGGGAAGCTGGGACCTGTGCTTGCTGTGTGCCCCTCTGGGACTCCTGCACTTCCATCTGCTGAGTATCTCTTTCTGTTTCATCCTTTTCAAAAGAAGTTAGCCCTTGGTTCTCAGTCGCCATATCCCTTTCCACTTGTGGCTCATGCTTGCTAACTTGCTGGTGTTCTACAGCATCTTTTCCACCACTCTCAGGGCTGGCTGGTTTCTCTAATTTCATATTTTCTGGTTCAGCTGCAGTAGAACTAGTCACGCTTCCTTTCGATGCACGTTTTATTTTCCTTGAAAGATAATCCTGAAGCCAACTCTTCTCAGTTTGTTGACTATTACATGTCATTAGTTTCCCAGTCCTTCTGTTTATCCAAGTATTTATCTCCACAGAAATAATGCTATATGTTTGCTGGGCCTTCTCAGAAAATGAATTTTTTTGCTTTGGGGGCTGCTGGCTACTCTTCTGAAATTCCTGATCTAACATTTGCTTGCTTCCATGCTCTTCAACAATTTGCTCCTGATTGCCCTTTGGGGATTCTAAAACTGGAGGCTGCTCCTTCGCCTTCAGGGTCTGTGTTGCAAGAGATTGTTGACTACCCTTCCGGGACTGTGGTACAGTGGATGGCTCACTGCCCTTCAGGGGCCTCGACATTGTAACTTCTTCACTGCCTTTCCGGGACTCAAGCATTGTAGACATTTTGCTAGTTTGTCGGGAGTCCTGCACAACAGGTGATTCACTGGCTCTCTGAGGCGCAGGCTTAGCGGGTGGTTCACTCATCCTCTGATGTTCAAACACAGCGGATAATTCACTAACCTTCCTGGATTGAGGCAGGCCAGATGGTTCACTAGCTCTCCGGGATTCTGGTAAAACATGTGCTTCACTGGCCCTTTGGGAGTCATGTATACTAGATGGTTCACTAGCCCTCCGGGACTCTAATAAAGTTGATGTTACACTGCCTCGCTGAGATGCAAAGAGTTGTTCACCAATCCCCTGAAACTCAGATACAACAGGTACTTCACTGACCCTTCGAGACGCAAGTACATCAGATGGTTCGCTAGCCCTTCGAGACTCTAATAAATCAGCTACTACACTGGCCCTTTGGGACTCAAATACAGCAGGTGGTTCACTAGCTCTCCGGGACTCAGGAGGTGCTGCACTAGCTCTCCGAGACTCAGCAAATGCTTGACTGTCCCTTTGAGGCCCAGGCACAGCAAGTTGTTCGCTAGCCCTCCAGGTCTCAGAAAAGAAAGGTATTTCACTGAATCTTTGGGATTCAAGCATGATGGGTGCTTCACTTGTCCTTGGAAACTCAAGTATAGTAGGTTCTACACTAACTGGACAAGACTGAGGCACAAAAGTTTGTTCACTAGGCTTGCGGGACTCAGGTAAGTCAGGTGCTTTGCTGATCCTTTGGGATGGAGATACAACGTATGTTTTACTAGACCTCTGGGACTCTGGTGCAGCAGGTAATTCACTGAACTTCCGAGACTCAGTTATGGTATATACTTTGCTGCCCTTTCGGGACTCAGGCACAGCTGACATTTCACTGGCCTTCTGGGATGCAGGAATACCAGGGGGTTCACTAGACCTCCAGGACTCAGACACACGAGGCGGTTCATGGCTCCTCTGGAAGTCTGGGACAGCATATTGTTGACTGACTCTTTGAGATTCATACTCAGCAGGTTGTTGATCTCTTACTTCTGGTGGTTTTTGAACCTCAATTACATCACTCCTTGACATTGTTTCTTTACTTATAGACATCTGTTTTTTCTCCCTATTTTTCTGCAGCCAACTATCACTAGTCTGTTGGCTTTGGTTTGTCATTAGTTTGCCAGTGTCTTTATGTGGCCAAGAAGGTTCCTTTAATGTAATGGTGCTATATGCCTGCCGAGCGAATGAAGACTTTTCTTTTGGCAACATCGTCTGACTAGGAAACGCAGAGGGGGGGTTAGGCTGACAAGCAAAATCCATCTTGTATACCACCTCGAGAGATTTCTGAGTGTCATACTGGTAGTCCTGCCTCATTCTTTCTTCATATAGACGATAACATTCTTCCAGTGCAGAAGAGAGGCTGCTCTGACCATATTCTAGCACAAGTTCCTCACCACCATGTTCAGATTCTTCTATCTTATCTGGAAGCCTGCCATAGTGAAGTTCTTGCAAGGCAATTGGCTTGCTGCCATGTCGAGAATCTTGCAGTTCAATAGGGAGGCTACTCTGGCGGAAATCTTGGGGTTCGTATTCTTGCTTAGTTTCATGGCGAGAACCCTCTAATTGTGCTGGAAGACTGCGAGAGTGAAGTTCTTGAATGTCAGCCTGCTTGCTTTCACGACTGAAATCCGGCAATTCTTGTGGTAGGATATTGCTACAGATTGCAGGTTCTACAAGTGGATGGCTGTCAGAACAGGTGTCTTTCAACTGAGCTGGAAGAACGTCCATATCAATTTTTTGTTGAGGTTGATGTGTTACACAGACAGAATCAGACAATTCAACTGCGGTGTTAAGTTTTTCACTTTTAGAGCTATCTGTCTGTAGACACTTTTCAGATAGTATTTTTTTGATACTCTCTGCACTATCAGTCTGTTGACATTGGTCAACTTTATTTTTGCATACTTTTCTACGTCGCCTTATCTTTTGGTCCTCTGGTCTAGACTGATCGGTCTTGCTTTGTTGCCCTGCTGTCCTTTGAATACTTTGAACAGATCCCTGTACAGTAGATATTTGACTAGGTATCTTTGATTCTAGCCCCTTTGTCTGCTGAATACTATAAGTAGATCCCGATACAGTAGACAACTGACTAGGTCTCTTTGATTCTTGTCCCTCTATTTGTTGGATACTGTAAAGAGATCCTTGTACATTAAGCACTTGACTTACAGTAGACAACTGACTAGGCCTCTTTGATTCTAGCCCCTCTATTTGTTGAATACCGTGAAGGGATCCCTGTACAGTAGGTGCTTGGCTAGGTCTCTTTGATTCTTGCCCCTGTATTTGTTGAATACTGTGAAGAGATGCCGGTACAGTAGGCGCTTGACTAGGTATCATTGATTCCTGGCCCTCTTTTTGTTGGATACTGTAAAGCGATGCCGGTACAGTAGGTGCTTGACTGGGTCTCTTTGATTCCTGCCCCTCTATTTGTTGCATACTGTAAAGCGATGCCGGTACAGTAGGTGCTTGGCTAGGTATCTTTGATTCTTGCCCCTCTATTTGCTGTATACTGTAAAGAGATGCTGGTACAGTAGGTACTTGACTAGGTATTTTTGATTCTTGCCCCTCTATTTGTTGGATACTGTAAAGCGAACCCTTTACAGTAGGCGCTTGACTGGGTCTCTTTGATTCTTGCCCTTGTATTTGTTGGACACTGAGAAGAGATCCCGTTACAGTAGGTGCTTGACTTGGTCTCTTTGATTCTTGCCCCTCTATTTGTTGGATACTGTAAAGAGATGCTGGTACAGTTGGTGCTTGCCTAGGTATTTTTGATTCTTGCTCCTGTATCTGTTGGATACTTTGAAGAGATCCTTGTATAGTAGGTGCTTGACTTGGTCTCTTTGATTCTTGCCCCTGTATTTGTTGGATACTGTAAAGAGATGCTGGCACAGTAGGCGCTTGACTAGGTATCTTTGATTCTTGCCCGTCTGTTTGTTGGATACTGTAAAGTGATCCCTTTACAGTAGGAGCTTGACTAGGTCTCTTTGATTCTTTCCCCTCCATTTGTTGGATACTGTAAAGAGATCCCGATATAGTAGGTGCTTGACTGGGTCTCTTTGATTCTTGCCCCTGTATCTGTTGAATACTGTGAAGAGATCCTTGTACAGTAGGCACATGGCTTGGTCTCTTTGATTCTTGCCCCTCTGTTTGCTGGATACTGTAAAGAGATCCTGGTACAGTAGGTGCTTGACTAGGTCTCTTTGATTCTTGCCCCTCTATTTGTAGAATACTGTGAAGGGAACCTTGTACAGTAGGCGCTTGACTAGGTCTCTTTGATTCTTGCCCCTGAATTTGTTGGATACTGTAGAGAGATCCTTGTACAGTAGGCACATGACTAGGTATTTTTGATTCTTGACCCTCTATTTGTTGGATACTGTAAAGAGATCCCTGTACAGTAGGCACCTGACTGGGTCTCTTTGATTCTTGCCCCTGTATTTGTTGGACACTTTGAAGAGATCCCTTTACAGTAGGTGCTTGACTAGGTATCTTTGATTCTTGCTCCTGTATTTGTTGGATACTGTAAAGCGATGCCGGTACAGTAGGTGCTTGACTAGGTATCTTTGATTCCTGTCCTTCTATTTGTTGTATACTGTAAAGAGATGGCGGTACAGTAGGTGCTTGACTCGGTATCTTTGATTCTTGCCCCTTTGTTTGTTGGATACTGTAAAGTGATGCCGGTACAGTAGGTGCTTGACTAGGTATCCTTGATTCCTGTCCTTCTATTTGTTGGATACTGTAAAGAGATGGCGGTACAGTAGGTGCTTGACTCGGTATCTTTGATTCTTGCCCCTCTATTTGTTGGATACTGTAAAGAGAACCCTGTACAGTAGGCGCTTGACTGGGTCTCTTTGATTCTTGCCCCTGTATTTGTTGGATACTGTGAAGAGATCCTTCTACATTAAGCACTTGACTAGGTCTCTTTGATTCTTGCCCCTCTATTTGTTGCATACTGTAAAGAGATGGCGGTACAGTAGGTGTTTGACTAGCTATCTTTGTTTCTTGCCCCTCTATTTGTTGTATACTGTAAAGAGATGGTGGTACAGTAGGTGCTTGACTCGGTATCTTTGATTCTTGCCCCTCTGTTTGTTGTATACTGTAAAGAGATGGCGGTACAGTAGGCGCTTGTCTCGGTATCTTTGTTTCTTGCCCCTCTATTTGTTGTATACTGTAAAGAGATGGCGGTACAGTAGGCGCTTGTCTTGGTATCTTTGTTTCTTGCCCCTCTATTTGTTGTATACTGTAAAGAGATGGCGGTACAGTAGGCGCTTGTCTTCGTATCTTTGTTTCTTGCCCCTCTATTTGTTGTATACTGTAAAGAGATGGTGGTACAGTAGGTGCTTGACTAGGTATCTTTGATTCTTGCCCCTCTATCTGTTGTATACTGTAAAGAGATGGCGGTACAGTAGGTGCTTGACTAGGTATCTTTGTTTCTTGCCCCTCTATTTGTTGTATACTGTAAAGAGATGGCGGTACAGTAGGTGCTTGACTCGGTATCTTTGTTTCTTGCCCCTCTATTTGTTGTATACTGTAAAGAGATGGCGGTACAGTAGGTGCTTGACTCGGTATCTTTGTTTCTTGCCCCTCTATCTGTTGTATACTGTAAAGAGATGGCGGTACAGTAGGTGCTTGACTAGGTATCTTTGATTCTTGCCCCTCTATTTGTTGTATACTGTAAAGAGATGGCGGTACAGTAGGTGCTTGACTAGGTATCTTTGTTTCTTGCCCCTCTATTTGTTGTATACTGTAAAGAGATGGCGGTACAGTAGGCGCTTGACTCGGTATCTTTGATTCTTGCCCCTCTGTTTGTTGTATACTGTAAAGAGATGGCGGTACAGTAGGCGCTTGTCTCGGTATCTTTGTTTCTTGCCCCTCTTTTTGTTGTATACTGTAAAGAGATGGCGGTACAGTAGGCACTTGACTAGGCATCTTTGATTCTTGCCCCTCTATTTGTTGGATACTGTAAAGAGATCCCTGTACAGTAGGCACTTGACTGGGTCTCTTTGATTCTAGCCCCTCTATTAGTTGGATACTGTGAATAGATCCTTCTACATTAAGCACTTGACTAGGTCTCTTTGATTCTTGCCCCTCTATTTGTTGTATACTGTAAAGAGATGGCGGTACAGTAGGTGCTTGACTCGGTATCTTTGTTTCTTGCCCCTCTTTTTGTTGTATACTGTAAAGAGATGGTGGTACAGTAGGCGCTTGACTAGGTATCTTTGATTCTTGCCCCTCTTTTTGTTGTATACTGTAAAGAGATGGCGGTACAGTAGGTGCTTGACTCGGTATCTTTGTTTCTTGCCCCTCTTTTTGTTGTATACTGTAAAGAGATGGCGGTACAGTAGGCGCTTGACTAGGTATCTTTGATTCTTGCCCCTCTTTTTGTTGTATACTGTAAAGAGATGGCGGTACAGTAGGCGCTTGACTAGGTATCCTTGATTCTTGCCCCTCTATTTGTTGTATACTGTAAAGTGATGGCGGTACAGTAGGCGCTTGTCTAGGTATCTTTGATTCTTGCCCCTCTATTTGTTGAATACTGTAAAGAGATGGCGGTACAGTAGGCGCTTGACTCGGTATCTTTGATTCTTGCCCCTCTGTTTGTTGTATACTGTAAAGTGATGGCGGTACCGTAGGCGCTTGTCTCGGTATCTTTGATTCTTGCCCCTCTATTTGTTGTATACTGTAAAGAGATGGCGGTACAGTAGGTGCTTGGCTCGGTATCTTTGTTTCCTGCCCCTCTATTTGTTTGATGCTGTAAAGAGATGCCGGTACAGTAGGTGCTTGGCTCAGTATCTTTGTTTCCTGCCCCTCTATTTGTTTGATGCTGTAAAGAGATGGCGGTGCAGTAGGTGCTTGGCTCGGTATCTTTGATTCTTGCCCCTCTATTTGTTGTAAACTGTAAAGAGATGGCGGTACAGTAGGCGCTTGAGTAGGTATCTTTGATTCCTGCCCCTCTATTTGTTTGATGCTGTAAAGAGATGCCGGTACAGTAGGTGCTTGGCTCGGTATCTTTGATTCCTGCCCCTCTATTTGTTGGATGCTGTAAAGAGACGCCGGAACAGTAGGCGCTTGACTCGGTATCTTTGATTCTTGCCCCTCTATTTGTTGGATGCTGTAAAGAGATGCTGGTACAGTAGGCGCTTGGCTCGGTATCTTTGATTCTTGCCCCTCTATTTGTTGGATGCTGTAAAGAGACGCTGGTACAGTAGGCGCTTGACTCGGTATCTTTGATCCTTGCCCCTCTATTTGTTGGATGCTGTAAAGAGATGCCGGTACAGTAGGTGCTTGACTCGGTATCTTTGATTCCTGCCCCTCTATTTGTTGGATGCTGTAAAGAGATGCTGGTACAGTAGGTGCTTGACTCGGTATCTTTGATTCCTGCCCCTCTATTTGTTGGATGCTGTAAAGAGATGCCGGTACAGTAGGCGCTTGGCTCGGTATCTTTGATTCCTGCCCCTCTATTTGTTGGATGCTGTAAAGAGACGCCGGTAAAGTAGGCGCTTGGCTCGGTATCTTTGATTCCTGCCCCTCTATTTGTTGGATGCTGTAAAGAGATGCCGGTACAGTAGGTGCTTGACTCGGTATCTTTGATTCTTGCCCCTCTATTTGTTGTAAACTGTAAAGAGATGGAGGTACAGTAGGTGCTTGAGTAGGTCTCTTTGATTCCTGACCCTCTATTTGTTTGATGCTGTAAAGAGATGCCGGTACAGTAGGCACTTGACTAGGTCTCTTTGATTCTTGCCCCTCTAGTAGTTGAATACTGTGAATAGAACCTTCCACATTAAGAACTTGACTAGGTCTCTTTGACTCTTGCCCCTCTATTTGTAGAATACTGTGAAGTGATCCTTGTACTGTGGGCACTTGACTGGGTCTCTTTGATTCTTGCCCCTCTCTCTGTTGGATACTGTGAAGAGATCCCTGTACAGTAGGCACTTGACTAGGTCTCTTTGACTCTTGCCCCTCTATTTGTAGAATAGTGTGAATTGATCCTTGTACTGTGGGTACTTGACTGGGTCTCTTTGATTCTTGCCCCTCTCTCTGTTGGATACTGTGAAGAGATCCTTGTACAGTAGGCGCTTGACTAGGTCTCTTTGACTCTTGCCCCTCTATTTGTTGAATACTGCGAAGAGATGCCGTTACAGTAGGCGCTTGACTGGGTCTCTTTGACTCTTGCCCCTCTATTTGTTGAATACTGCGAAGAGATGCTGTTACAGTAGGCGCTTGACTGGGTCTCTTTGATTCTTGCCCCTCTATTTGTTGGATACTGTGAAGAGATCCCTGTACAGTAGGTGCTTGACTGGGTCTCTTTGACTCTTGCCCCTCTATTTGTTGAATACTGCGAAGAGATGCCGTTACAGTAGGTGCTTGACTGGGTCTCTTTGATTCTTGCCCCTCTATTTGTTGGATACTGTGAAGAGATCCCTGTACAGTAGGTGCTTGACTGGGTCTCTTTGACTCTTGCCCCTCTATTTGTTGAATACTGCGAAGAGATGCCGTTACAGTAGGCGCTTGACTGGGTCTCTTTGACTCTTGCCCCTCTATTTGTTGAATACTGCGAAGAGATGCCGTTACAGTAGGTGCTTGACTGGGTCTCTTTGACTCTTGCCCCTCTATTTGTTGAATACTGCGAAGAGATGCCGTTACAGTAGGTGCTTGACTGGGTCTCTTTGACTCTTGCCCCTCTATTTGTTGAATACTGCGAAGAGATGCCGTTACAGTAGGCGCTTGACTGGGTCTCTTTGACTCTTGCCCCTCTATTTGTTGAATACTGCGAAGAGATGCCGTTACAGTAGGCGCTTGACTGGGTCTCTTTGACTCTTGCCCCTCTATTTGTTGAATACTGCGAAGAGATGCCGTTACAGTAGGTGCTTGACTAGGCCTCTTTGACTCTTGCCCCTCTATTTGTTGAATACTGTAAATAGATGCCGTTACAGTAGGCGCTTGACTGGGTCTCTTTGACTCTTGCCCCTCTGTCTTCTGACATTCTTCAACTTTCGGCTGAGCCCTTTCTGTATCCAGAGAAGAAGCCATTGTTGCTTCCTCTTTGAACATATCTTTTTCTAAGTTTTTGCTTTTTACTGATTCTTTAAAAGGGAGTAAAATTTCTGCAAGTGTTTCTGGGCCCCAAATTATACTTGTTTGTTGGTGTCTAGATATTACATATACGCCTGTTCTTTTATTGAACCAAGTTGTTTCCTCACTTATATCAGCATTCTCTACTGCTTTTCCTTGGGGCATCTTTTGATCTTGCAAAATGGGGATACCAGTGGACTGCTGGCTGCTCTTTCGAGACTGTACCTTTTCGTGTTCTAGATCAAAAAGGGGGACGCCATACCTTTGTGACAGTAGACTGCCACGTCGGGATACCTCCACTTGTTCACTTTCATAGCCAGAATCTGGCACTCTTGTTGACTCTGTGTCATCAGGAAAACTAATCTCAGACTGCACCGGAGAAGATGCTTGGCTATGACCATCCTGACGACTGACAGATTGTTGACTGCTATGTTGGGATCTTTGGCCTTGGAGCTGAGAACTGCTAAAGTCGGATTCCTTCCTTAGAGATGCTATACTGTCTTTTGAACCACAAATATCTGTCTGCTGACTCCGGTCCATTAGTGTTTTTCGCCTGAAAATGCTCACTTTGCTGTCTGTCTGGAGAGATTGGTTGATCTTATCTTTTTCCGAAACTGTTCTGCTTATGGCTCTTTGCTCCATGACTGGTGCAGTATCCCCACTCTCCTGAAATTGATTTGTCCCACTGTGATCTGCCTCACTAATGTCATCATTACATTTCTGCTCCTCGTCTAGCATTTCATCATTCCCAGGGATCTCCCGGTCAAGTGGTAGTTCAGAGTCATCCATTCTTTTGCTTAACACTTACTAATTTGGTAGCTGGGGCCTGGAGACAGCAGCCCTTGCTGTATGGGCAAGACAGATCTCCCACCTACGTCTTGCAACTTTCTTTTAAAAGCCTACAAATAATGGAAACATGAGAGCTACCTTCTTGGATCCCAAGTTGCGGAAGTTGTTTTATTCCTTGCATTAGGGCTGTGGCTTGTTATGTTGCTTGCATCATTGTCTAGATGGATAGTAGACTTATCCGGTGCTGCTTCCTTCTATTTACAGCCAGTTGGAACCATGGCCCTGATGCTGAAGCAAATAGCTCCAGAAAACCGATCACCAGCTCTCAGCTGCTGGTGGTTTTCCTGTTCTCACTCCAGTTCTTCTTTGTTCTAGAAGTTTCAAGTAGGCGGTCTATGACATCATTGTCTGTTCTGCTCCAGCCATTTATATGATTATAGCAGAGGAAGCTCTACGTTCAGGAGTCCAGAACTGCACACAGTGTTTCTCCTTTCTGACATTCATATGCTGAAAACACTGGACATTCCAACTTCTGAAAGGCTGGACTACACTCTCTCTTCTCAGAAACTGACTTTAAGAGAAGGTAACTAGGAACCATTCCTATTCAAAGCAACCTGATATTAAGATTGCTCAGTTTAAGATCGCCCTGAGTCACCCCTCGGGGGTTGAGAAGGGCAGGAGTAGAAGTGCGAGAAATAAATAATAATTTTTTTGTTGTTAATTGCTGTCAAATTGGCTTTGACTTATGGTGATCCTATGGATGAGAGACCTCTACATCACCCATTATCAATAGCACCGTGCCAGGCTCTGATTTCTGTGACTAAATCTGTCTACCTGTAATGTGGTCTTCCTGTTTATCTACTGCCTTCTACCTCACCAAATGTTATTGTCTTATCTAGAGATTCATGATGTATCCAAAGTATGATTATCTATTCAGTCATCTTTAGTTCAAGGGACAATTCAAGATTGATTTGTTTTTTACTCATTTATCTGTCATTGTAGCAGTCCACGGTATATGGAGAATACCATATTTACTCAAATCTAATGCTCACCTTTTTTGGCTAAATTGCATCGTGCACATAAACCCACCAGCACTCACCTTCTCAGACTCAAGCTGGCAACCTTGCCAGTCTCATTCGGATAGAGGGCATGGCTTTCTAACTAGCCTCATTCATGAGGCCTTCAAGATCTTCCCTTCGGTTTTGAAGCCCTCATGAATGAGGACTTGCTTGGGAAGCCGCCGCTTCCAGTCTGCTTTGAGTTTGCCAGTCTAATGGAGAGGTTCTTCCTTTACCTGTTCTTGAAAACTGAGGACAGTGATGACCTCCTTAATTGGATAAGTAACCTTTTCTCTCTTTTCCTACTGCACTTTACCAAGCATTCATCTCATGTCCAATGAGTCACATCATCTCTTGATATGTCCAAAGTACAACAGCTTCAGTTTAAAAGACATCTTTGACTTGGTAGCTATAAAGAAACTAGACAAAATCCTCAAGTGAACAATACTGATATTGTACTTCACCAGCACCACACCAGAGGCCAGCAATCTATATATATATAAATTTGTTAGGGGCATCCAACGAGGAAACAAAACTCAAAACCCCCCAACGAAACTTAACCAAAATTCCCATGCCCATAACACAACCCACAAGGTACAAACATATCTACTCAAAATGAAAAACAACACAACAACACACTCACAAAACGGCAAAACAACAAAACTCAAAAAACCCCAACGAAACTTAACCAAAATTCCCATGCCCATAACACAACCCACAAGGTACAAACATATCTACTCAAAATGAAAAACAACACAACAACACACTCACAAAACGGCAAAACAACAAAACTCAAAAAAAACCCCAACGAAACTTAACCAAAATTCCCATGCCCATAACACAACCCACAAGGTACAAACATATCTACTCAAAATGAAAAACAACACAACAACACACTCACAAAACGGCAAAACAACAAAACTCAAAAAAACCCCAACGAAACTTAACCAAAATTCCCATGCTCATAACACAACCCACAAGGTACAAACATATCTACTCAAAATGAAAAACAACACAACAACACACTCAAAACGGCAAAAAACAAAACTCAAAAACCCCCAACGAAACTTAACCAAAATTCCCATGCCCATAACACAACCCACAGGTACAAACATATCTACTCAAAATGAAAAACAACACAACAACACACTCACAAAACGGCAAAACAACAAAACTCAAAAACCCCCAACGAAACTTAACCAAAATTCCCATGCCCATAACACAACTCACAAGGTACAAACATATCTACTCAAAATAAAACAACACAACAACACACTCACAAAACGGCAAAAGGATAAAACTCTAAAAAAACCAACGAAACTTAACCAAAATTCCCATGCTCATAACACAACCCACAAGGTACAAACATATTACTCAAAATGAAAAACAACACAACAACACACTCAAAACGGCAAAAAAAACTCAAAAAAACCCAACGAAACTTAACCAAAATTCCCATGCCCACAACACAACCCACAAGGTACAAACGTATCTACTCAAAATGAAAAACAACACAACACACTCACAAAATGGCAAAACAACTGAGCATGCGCATTGGCGCCCAGCCGCAAGTTCCCTGGCGCGCGCACATGCCCTTCCGGCCAACGTTCCCTCTGCGGAAACCATGCCCACTCCAAGCCCCGCCGCGCCGCTTCCCGCACACACACACACCCCTGCCGCCACATACACACACAACCCCACACTCCATCACTCCCCCCGCCGCCGCACACACACACGCAACCCCACACTCCATCACTTCCCCCGCCGCCACACGCACACACGCAACCCCACTCCCCCCGCCGCCGCACACACACACAACCCCACGCTCCATCACTCCCCCCCGCCGCTGCACACACACACACACAACCCCACGCTCCATCACTCCCCCACCCCAATCTTACCTCCTTTTACTTCACGCCACCTCCAAACCCCACCCCGCCCCTTCCCGCCCTGTCAAAATCTAGGAAAGACAGGAAGGAAGGAAAGAAGGAAGAAAGAGAAAGGGAGGTAAAGAAAAAGGGGGAAGGAAGGAAAGTTAGAGAAAGAAGGAAAAAGAAAAGGAAAGAAAAGGAAAGATGGAAGGAAAGAAAAGAGAGACAGCAGAAGAGAAAGAAAAAGGGGGAAGGAAGGAAAGAGGTAGAGAAAGAAGAGGAGAAGGAAAGATGGGAAGGAAGGAAGGAAGGAAGGAGGGAAAGAAGGAGAGAAAGAGGGAAGATTGGCCACAGCAACACGTGGCGGGTAAAGGTTGTTATTTCTATTATTATTATTATTATTATTATTATTATTATTATTATTATTTATGCTATTGTTCCTATGAGACCCTGGAGGAATGGGAGAGGTGTCAGGTCCCAGAGGCAATGCATTGCATTATTGTTATTGTTATGATGGTGGTAAAATAAAGGGAAATAAAAAGTGAAAGAAGGAAGCAAACAGGAGGGAAGAAAGGCAAAGGAAGAAAGGGGGAGGGAATGAAGGAAAGAGAGAAGGATGAAACCAAGTAGTGAAAGAAAGAAAGAGGTAGAGAAGGAAGAAAGGAGAGAAAGGGGGAGGAAAAGGGGGAAGGAATAGGTAGGGACCTCTCTTTCATAATAGTCCAGATATCTACCTCAACTTTGATAAGTTTTACTATAGGCCACAGCAACGCGTGGCAGGGCACAGCTAGTTTCTATATAAGTATGTTAAAGAAAGTTGATAGAAAAGGAAAAAGGGGGTAAATCCAAAAATATCAAAATAGAATAGAAAATAGAAAATAGCAGTAATCCAAAAATGTCAAGGAACATAAAGCCAAGGAATTCAAAACCCGCAATAATCCAAAAATATGTCCATGAACACAAAAACAGGAACTTTTCCAAGGAAAACACTCCAAGGAAACACAGACATAAACAAGAACAGAAAACTTGAGCATACTTGAACCAGGAACTTGAGAGCAGAAACTTTTAGGAACATCTACTCTGAAATGCCTGAAAACAACCTACTATTGTAAGCCCTCCAAGCCACCCATGACATCATACCCATGCACCTGGATGTCTTAGCCCTATCTCTGAGCCTCTGAGAAAATCTCATTTGCCGACTTTTAACAACCTGCATTCTTAGGTCTAATCTAAGTTCCCTGGAAACCTCCCCATCGGCCTCCCCGTTTCTCCAGGGAACTGGTACTTTCATTTTTCCCTGTTGCCTGGGAACGAGATGAAGAATCCAAAACACCAGCCTCATCTGCCTGCAATTCCCTCCAATCACTAACAGACACTTCATCTCGAAACTCTTCATCTCCAGCTGACTCATCCCCTGAACAGTCAGAAACATCCTTTGATGCTTGCCAAACTGCAGCAATTAGATATCAATATCAGGATGGTCCATGTGATTGTATTCCCAGTTTTTGTATACGGTCATAAAGATTGGACAGTGAAAGTGTTCTGAGGTGGGCAGAATAGGCAACAGGCAAGGGGAAGTTGTGCATTACACTTGACAACAAATCTTTTTCTGCAATGCGGACCTTCAAAATTGCAATGTGCATTACAATTACGGCACATTATACTCCACTATACACAGTACTTCTCGAGCACTACATTTCAAATGAATTGATTCTCTTCCTATCAGTTTTTTTCACTGCCCAACCTTCATGACCATATATAAAAATTGGAAATACATAGGTCAATCATGATGCTGGTTTTCAATATTGTTCACCTGAGGATTTTGTCTAGTTTCTTTATAGCTGTCAAGTCAAGGGCCTTTTCTGTTTAATTAATTATTAGAATCATAGGTTCATTGAGTTGGAAGAGAACACATGGGCTATCTAGTCCAACCCCTTTCTGCCATGTAGGAAAAGCATATTCAACCTTCTCTTTTACAGGCTAAACATATCTAGCTCTTTAAGACATTCCTCAGAGGGCATGTTCCCCAGACCTTTGATCATTTCAGCTGTCCTCCTCTGAACATCTTCCAGCTTGTCATTATCTCTTTTGAACTGTGATGCCCAGAATTGGGCACAGTATTCCAGGTGAGGTCTAACCAAAGGAAAGTGTATTGCTTTGGTTAGACCTCCTATACTTTCAGCCAAAGTATAGGAGATCTCTTTAAAGTTTTCATTGTAAACTTTAAAGTTATAAAAATAATCTGGTGTCATTTTTGTTTTCTTAATGATTCATTGTAAACGTCCCTTTAGAATTTTCTCCTTGATTGTTCTAAATCTTGGCTATTTTCTACTAGTAATATGGTGTCATCTGTGAATTTTTTATTGTTGATGTCCTTTCTTCCAATTTTTACACTTATTCTGTAGCTAACACTGCTTTATGTATAATATACTCAGCATGCAAGTTAAACAGATAAGGTGATAAAATGCAGTCTTCTTTCCCCCTTATAAATTTATTTATTATTTCATTTATTTATTTCACAGTTTTGTGTACCGAGCTTCTCAACCTCGTCGAGGGACTCAGCCCGGTTTACAGCCATAAAAACATATACATTCATTAAAATATCATATATCACAAATTATAAAACAACTTTAAAAACACTAAATATAAAACTACAGTGGTCAGTCGTCCTAATAAGATGGATCTATATCCACTTCCATCCAGAGTCCTATGGTGTTGTCT